TGAGCATCTCCCGGTGTCTGCGGCCGGTGGGGCTGGAGAGCCGGGAGCCACCACGTCGACTGGGCTCCAGCTGAACGCCGTGGGTGCCGTGAGCCGGGGCAGCGTGGGGCATCGGCCACCCACGGGCACCCTGCCACCTGCCCGGTGCCACGGCCAGGCTCGTGGCCGTGACCGTGGCCGTGGCGAGGGGAGCTGACGCACGGCTGTTTGGCGAGGTGCTGCCGGCCGGGGCGGCATCAGGAGGTTGCGATGGGTGCTGTGTCCCCAGGTGGTCCCCATGGCTGTCCCTTCAACGGTGGCTCGTGGCACGACGGTGTGGCACGGTGGTGGGGCTGCGGCGGCCGGGGCGTGGGGTGGTGTGGGTCAGCACTGGGGCATCTCTGTGTCTGCGTCAGCGGGTGGGGGTCGGGTGTTGGGGCGGGCGCGCCGCCCCATGGGGACGTCACCCCGTCACGGGACTCGTCACCCCACCCTGCCACCGGCACCACAGGGTGTTGGTGCTGCCGCCGTGCTGTCGGCAGTGGGTGCCTGCATTGCCTCCCGGCCTGGGGTGGCCGCCCGTCCCCGGCGTCCATGTCTGGGGGTGCCGAGGGAGCTGCACCGCTGCCGCAGCTCAATGCTGTGAGTACCGGCCGCCGCTGCCAAAGTGGGGACAGTTGGGTGTCAGGGTGTCCCCACTGCTGCAGCGCCTGCCATGCACACTGCCGGGGCGGCCAGGCACCTCTGCGACTGGCTGTGCCGGTGCCTCACCGATGGTCCGTGCCTGCCACAGTGGAGAGCGTGTTGGGTGACACCGACACCGGCACCTGCGAGGGTGACAGGGCTGTCATGGCTGGTGTTGGGCGCCTGCACTTGTGGTGGCTGCTGCGGCTGTGGGGCACCCTTGGCACCGCCGGGCTGTGGGTGTTGGTGGCTGTCCTGCTTTGGGTGCCCCCGAGGGTGCCGAGTCCCCCGTCAGTGCTGGCGTGGGTGCTGCCGGCGCTGGGCAGTGCTGCTGTGTTTGGTACCACGGATGCTGGGGTCAGTGCACAGTGGGTGTTGGTGTTCTGGTGTTGGGTGTCCTGGAGGCTGCTGGAAACCTGCTGGTGGGGGGTG